CTCCAGTCTTCTGACTTTGAATCTCATAGTTTTCTTTATTTTATGCCAATTTAATTCAGAATTATTATTATTTTCTCCTGTTCCCTTCACCCCCTTGTTTGGGAGAGAAAAATGATGATATATAGTATTAAGGAATGAGATTTTTCTGTATAGCGTTAACTGATAGCTCTAGGTTTTGCTATTTAGTTCATCTGTAAATTTCATCAAATCTCTTAATGGACCATGTCCTAGATTTAAATAAAATGCTAGTTTTAGCCTTAATTTGTGTGCTATGTTTGTACAATGCTATCATCTCCTCACGTGGTTTCAGAACGTTATGTGTGACGCATCTTTTCTGTATCCCATTGATAGTTGGGAAATTCAGACTGCCCTTCAGTGTTATATTCCATCCCTGGAAAATAGGTCTCATCTGCTTGTGTATATCTATAAGTTAGTGAGTGTGTTAAATCTATCACAGCATGAAATCACTTCAAGTGCTGTGAAAGACTATCTTAAAGAATTTAAATTGATTGCAGATGTTAGTGCAATTAAGTAGGCCTGATGAGCTAAGAATCATGTTTCTCAGATTTGAATATGAATATGTTTAAAAAAATTATAGTGATGTACTCCATGTAAATGGAGTTCATAGGCATCTGAGAGTTTTTATCACCTTCTATTTTAAAATGGTTCAGAAACATGAAAAGTGATACATGACCCCTTATGTAGATATTTGAATTATTAGTTTTAGAGTAAATATGTATTAGCCTGTTTTAAGTGGGTAGTTCTGTGCTATCCTTACCAAACTGAAATTGACACTGAGTGATTATTATTAAGTATTTCATTTGTGTACCAGTTTTGTAACTATTTCATTTGTGTACAAATTAACTTATCTACCTTTAATGCCTATACTTCATTTAAAAGTTATTCCACAGGTAGAGAGAAAAGTGTAATTATTTCATCCTCATTTTTAATAAAAATATTGAGTATGGCAAATAAGCCAAATGAGAGTATAGTTGATAGATGCATAGGATCTTTTGACCCTTGATGTCAGACCTGTGAGTGGTAGAACTCTTATCTACTTTAAGTTGCTTTTGCTTTAACTACTGAATTATAAGACAAAATTTTGTATTTATTATTTGAAAATGTAGCATACTAGGTTGCAAATTAGGAAGCAAGTTCTGAAATAAGACTGTAACAAGATTAAGTAGAGTGTACAGTGTGTTCATTTTCAATTTATTTCAAATTGATCTGTGCCTATTAAATAATTAAACTCATCAATTTCTGTAACATTGTGTTACAGACACATTGTGTTATAGACATTAGGATTTTATAATATATATAGTAATATAAAGTACAAGAATGGTAATTCCATTTATATACTCTAAATACTAAGGAAATTACTGACCTTATTTGAATTATACTAACATTAATGATTTTAAATAGGAACAAAGAATACATTATTTTGTTCTTGCTACATGGTGAAAATTAAAGTTGCACTCTATAATATTTTATAAAAACTTACTTTGTTTTATTATATTAACCATTATATGGCAGACTGCTTTGTTTCCAGGGGTTAAACATGTTCTCTTTTGCTTCTAGCTCTGTAATTTCAGAAAATTCATTGTTCCTCTCTAGTACTCATCTGCTAAATTATACAACTTAACTGGTTTTTTGGAGGGGTGGGGTGAGGTATGGAAAAGCTCTGAGCCAATTCCTAAAGTCTCTTAACAGTTCTCTTATCACACAGCTCAAAGTGAAGTGTAAAATGGGACTGGGGGAATGAATGTTACAGCTGAGGTCTTACATCTGATTCATATGCGGAAAAAAAAGTTAAGTCTCAGAATCATAGAAATACATGCTGTACTTCACTGTAAAAAATGCATATATATGCTAATCTTTGGATCCAGGAACAAAATCTTTGATAAGGAGTAGCTCCTGCTTTGGTTTTTCCCACCTAAGAGACCTACTCATGAAACATCATCTGTAATTACCATTTGTTTGCATGCCTTAAGTAAACCATGAATTTATACTTATAAAGCAATAAATGTTAGGCTTGTAAGAGATTTGTATGGTGTATATAGTATGATTTTTCTTCAGTTATCTTACCCATTCCTAATTTGAAACAAGTTTTTAAAGCAAATTACTATAATCTTGTCTTTCTTGAAGCCTGAATGTAATGTATCAAAGGAAAATTTCCTCTGAATTCCCACATATGATTCCATTAGCAAGCAGAGATACTATAGCACATCACAAACAGTTTGAGGGCACAAAAAATCAACTTTTGGTATTCACAGAATTCAATTCACAAAACTAGACATATGTGGTTTACAACATGCTTTAGGGATCTATCACTGTGTCTTATAGAATAATGGAATGCCTAATACTGAATGTCTGTTTCTAGAACCTTAAAGAGCTCACTTTTTTTTTGTTTATTTGTTTGTTTCTCTCCCTCTTCATTTCTTTCCCTTGTAGGGTCATAAAAATAAATCTTTCTGTGACTTGTTTTATTGCCTTCCCCAATAATTTTTCAATAACTGATTCACTTCAAACTGACTCAAAACATAGCATGTTTGTTTGTGTACCTGACAAGCTTAGGGGTTGGTTGGCTTTAGGCAGTTTTTCCTCTAAAAATTTTACTCTTGCCTCTCCTCCCAATTATGAGTTTCCATTACCCATTTTATTCTGTCTTTTATAACTGAACCTATTGTACTCATTCTGAAATGGTCTGGGAGCAGCATGCTCAAGTGTGTGGGAACCATTGCACTTTTCCAATGTTCATTTTAACCTCTGTTTTTTCTACTTTCTTTCTTTTTTCTTAGGTGCTAGGGATCAAACACAGAGCCTTGTGCATGCTAAGCATGTGCTGTACCACTGAACTGTACCTCAGTCCTAACTTTCTTATTCTTCCTTATACTGGTTCCTCTATTCTTATGCAACTAACCAGATTCTGTGTTCCATTTAGCCAAATTTAATTAGAGTCTTAGTTTGAATGTACTATTCTGACTTTAGTATTGCTATTCTCTTTGTTATTGGATTAGTGGTCAAGGTTCCTCCTGTGCCCTAGCTCTCTCCCTTATGGGCTACACTTGGACATAAAAGTCATAAAAACATGAATCAAGGTGGAATCTTCCAGGTAAGATGGATCCCTATAAGTTAGTCATTGTCAATATATGATGGAGACTTTGGAGGTTCACAAACTTGATTGACCAACATGCTAAGATTCAGTATGCATTTAGTGAGTTGACGTGCAATTTAAACTGATATACATACTGATGTTTAAAAACTCAAATGCTACTTTAGTAATTTACAGTTTCTAATATTATTATGAAGAATTTTGGATTCTCTTCTCTCATTATAGTCCACATTCTATAGGAAGTCAAGTAATAAGAGTTGTGTGGTTTGTTGGATGATCTATGGAGATAATGGGCCATAGATTGGGACTCAATGGATCCTGAAATTGTATGTGCCTGTGGCAGCCCGTGTTTCTTCTGCTTTAACTGGTCTCATAGTTCATGTAGTAACCCGTTTAATTAATGGGGTAGAGTAGAACTTCCATAAAGGTTGGAAATATTTGTCACAGTACAGACTAGATATTGGCATTAATGTTTTGGGGCACCTCCTTTCCTGCAGAGCACCAGTAGGACTCTGCAGAACTTTGGGTCTCTGGACATGTTTGCAGGTATCATGTAGGGACTTTCTCCTATGACATGTGCTCATTGCTCTCAGTGTGGCTTTACATTGAAAAGATCACATTTTTAATGGTAATAAATGAACTTTACTTTGAGATCACATTTTATCTTGTTACATATGTGTATACCCTTGGATCTTTTTAATGACAGAGTTTATATTTGATACATATTTTTTTCCTAATTTAACTCCTAATTTCTATGTTAATTATATTTTAAGATTTGAGGGTACGTTACAGTTGACAAATTTATGTGCCCTAAGTACACTTCTTGCCTGGAGGACAACCAGACAGGAGCTTGTTGTCTCATTTCATTATTTGATTATTTTGCTTTTATGGCTCAGGATCTTTATGCATCTCCTGTCAGCTTTGAGAATTTTCTTAGGACATAAAAGTTATTTAAATAATCAAACCATTAGGAATTCTAAGAATAACTTGTTTAGTAATCAAGTGACATTCCAGGTATCATTCATTTATTCAGATGCTCAAATGTAAGATTATTTAAATCAAAGATACAACTTAAAAAGATAAAGTAGTTCCCAATGTAGAATAATTTCTTAGTATCTTATTATTTTGTCTGGTCTACTTAAATTAAGAAAGATCTATTGATTTCTAAAATCTTTTCACATTAAGTTCTTTGGAAGAATGCTTTTCTCACGGTACATGATCAGAAAAGCATTTAAGTGTCCTTTATGCACAGTAGGTAAGGAACAAAAATAAGGAAACAATAGCTTTAAATAATTACTTTTAGATAATGTTTATTTAAGATTAATAACAAAATCCAAAGTAAGAATGTGAGAAATTGGGACTGTGGTAAGGGTATTTAAAGCATAGTAGTTTTAACAATATTTTTTTTCTCTTAAAAGTGATGCATTGTTGCAAGAAGTTTAGAAAATATAAGATGTCATTAATGAGACAAAATAACCATACTAATCAAACATGAGGAACTCAGCTAAAATAGTAAGATTGTTTTGATTTTGGAAAGGCAAAAGAAAGAATATTATATGACTCAGGTAATACAAAAAATTCTATATGTGACTTTTCCTCTTATGCTAGTTAGAGTTGTGGCAGAAGACCAAAGGCCAAGCATGGCAGGTAGTAAAACAGTGCAGCCATAGAAGAAACAGTGAAACTGATTGTGCTGCCCTTAGCTTGGCATCTGTTTTTAGACTGTATAAGGATAGGACCACATGGAGGTCTAGATTCAGTCTTCTGCATGTGATCACCAGTTCTCCCACCATCATTTATTGCAGAGGCTATTTTTCCTCCATGTATGTTTTTGGCCCTTTTTTCAAAGATCAGATAATAAGAAATAGATCTTTTGCAAATGGTGGGGACCAAGAGATGAAGGGATGGGAGAGAGAAGGTGAGAAGGAAATGAAAAGAGAATTGAGATATGTTAAGTCTATGTACCAACTCCTTGTGATGAATGTAATCACTGTGTACTGCAGAACATGCACTAATAAAAATAAAAATTAAAAAAAATAGGTTCACAATTATTCAAGAAAAGGAAGATGGATACAGGGAGTTCTTTTTGGAGAGAGGTGTTAGATTGCTGTGTATAAATGTCTTGAGCCAAGTGAGTGGGCATTTAAGAGAATTGCTCAGATGTGAATGTGTATCCCTTAGAGTTATGAACACAGATATTGGAACTATACTCTATATATGATAGGCAGTGGCTATGTGAAATGCTTTGGTGACAAACCAAGAAAAAGGATTAAACCTATTGTTGAAATAGACTGGACTTGCATTGAAAGTTTTGGTTTTGAAAATTTTTAAAATTTTTATTAGTGTATGTTTGCAGTACATAACAATTACATTCATAATGAGGAGTTAGTACATGTTCAGAACACATCTTAATTCTTTTTATGGCTCCCTCCCCTCTTCTCCCTACCTGCTCCATCTGTCTCTTCTCATTTGCATAAGATCTATCTCCCTGTTTCCCATTAAACCTGGGTCTTATGTGGACCTTTTAGATGTGGTTTTTGAATTCTTGCGGATCACCTGCATGTGCAGTGACCCCACCCTGGAGAGTCTGTGTAAAGTAGACTACTAATTCTTCAGCCAGTGGCACTCCTCTGCAGAGATAGTTATCAACACTTGGATATCGGCCACATCCCAAAGACAGTGGCACCAGAGGCTAGCAGTAATACCTCAGGATGTCAGATTTCTACATCTTCCTGTTCTTCTTTCCCCTTTCCTTTCACCCGAAGGTGCTGGAGGAAGCCTTATGAGTCAGGATGGTGGAGTTGAAGGACAAGGTGGGAAAATGGTGAAGTTCCACCACACTGTTCATCATGATAGATTTCCTTGTCTGAGTGAGGCCTATGCTGAGGGAGAGGAGAAACTTTAAATTACTTAAGGAAAAATTCACTTTTCCTTACCAGGCTTAATCATGTGAAAGTTAGAATATCATTCTGAGGTGAAATTACTAGGAATAATATTAGAATGACAATGTTCTTAAATTTAAATCCAAAAATTATAAAGGGAAAGAAGAGTATATTTGCTAATAATCAATTAAAATTTTTTTTGTGTGTAGCAAAGGTGAGACAGAGTGAAAAAAAATTGGGAGAAATTTAAAAAAGGAATCCCAGATGAAAATATTTGCTGTATATAAAAGTGTAAAGAACACCTACAAATCATTAAGAAAAAGATGAACAACCCAATAAGAAAGAATTTGCTTAATATAATTAAGCAATTCACCCAACAAGAATTGCAGATGACAAACAGCCTTTTGAAAAGAAACTCAATCTCAATATATAAAGTAAAGTAGATACGGAGAGCATTTTTCATCTGTCAACACGAAAAGCTAAAAAGATTGCTGACTATAATTGTTTGGTGAGGACATAGAAATACATTATCAGTGTAAGCTTTTTGGAGTATAATTTGACAGTATCTATCTAATTTGTATATTCCAAATTCCCAGTATTTTGAATCTATTTTATACAAATAGCTTGAAAGTACAAAGATCTATGAATGAGGATGTTTCTTACAAGGTGAAATGCCAAGGTATTTAAAGCCACCAATATATTGTTCAATAGAAATGTGATTGAGAAATTTACAGTACATGGTGGAAATATAGCTTTAAAATAAGTGAGTTAGATCTGATTTAGAAAGTTACCCAATATGAAGAACAATAAAGAAGCATGAGTATGATATGAACCCTTTTTTACCTAAAGAGTGGGCATGTGAGTCTCAACATATGCCTGTGAATGAGCAGACACTTCTCTTTGGATGTGTTCTGTTATCCATGTTTCCAGCATTGGTACCAGAAAATATCCTTTCAGAATAATATTTTCTTAACAGAAACAAAATCTGATGTTACTAATAGAGAACAACGCTTTAGAGTCTTGTTTACCGAGTCATTTTGTTATGGTGCAGATGGCCTGATAACATGTACCACATTTCAATTAGAAAAAATAAAAACAAATCAGCAGAGCTAATAGTATGCTGTTTACGAAGCTTTTAAATGTGACTTGGAATAGCACACAGATTTATTTTATATTCCTGTAGTAAATTGGCACTCATTTAATACTTTCATTTACAGAACTTAAACTTTTGGAAACATCTGGATAAATCTATGAATAATTTAAGTGTTTAGTTTGTGATCATTGCCAAATCGTGTTTATTAAGAATTTACCAATGTGTGACAATGCTGGGTGCTGTAAATATCATCATAAATGAAAAACAGAGGAAAGCTGAGTCTTGATTCAGGGAAGTGGTATATTAGTACATTAAAATATGAAAAATATCATTTTATATTAGATTTTACTGTCTGCCTGTGAAATTTAAGGTTACGTAAACTGATAGTTTTAGTCTGAAAATTTAGAGGAGTAGATCTGGTAGCATGAAACTTACTTTCCATTTCTGAAAATTGTTTGATTCCTTCCTTTGCCAGGAAATAGTCAATTATAGTCTGATTCCAAAGCTGTTTAGTTGAAAACTTGATGGATATCATTTTCTTAAGACATCTTTTCAATAGTAATGTATAGATATTGTAGAAAATACAGATAAACAGAAAAGAAAATGAAAACCATCCACAATTTTTCTGCCAGAGGTAACTGTTAACATTTTTGGTTACTTTTTTTCAGTCTTAGAAAATGAAGTTGAGAATACCATCCTCCACAGGTTGTTATGGAGAGTAAATGAAGTATTACTGTGTTTATGGTGTCTGCCATATGACATAAAGCATCTAGCAATGCGTATGATAGATGCATTTTTCAGTTACTCAAGTGCTAGCCTTATTTTTGATTTTTCTTATATTTTACTAGTTTCCTTCTTTTAGTTCACTATGGTCCTGATTGTGTTCCAGCTTCTTTTATTCTGAGGTTTGTTACAGACACTTAGTAAATTATAGGAACTAGCATAAGGTGTACTTTGATACATTTGCCACCTAAAGTTTCTGGAATTCTATTTCAAGGAAAATTTCAATGTTCATATATATGTTTGTATGTTTCGTAGAGAATACTAGTGAATACTATCCATAGAGAACAGAAGGGAATGAAAAATTTGCCCTTAAATTCATGAAATTAGGTCTGCTAGAGATAAATTTTCAACCATATCTTTATTCAAATGAACGGGACTAATCAATGAAATTTCATTAGAAAGGAGAGAAAAGATAGAGTGATAGTGAAAGCTTCTAATGAGTGGATTAAGAAGGAGAGGCCTGATAAAGGACAAAGACCTGCTGCTGTAGGTATATTTACATGTGTAGATACAAGGTAGAGTAGAATTAGTTGGAATAGTATATAGAGAGGAGTATTCAGTGAGAAAATTCAATACTCTTTTCCTTAGGAGATGGTGGATTCGCATTGCGAAGAGACCTACAGATTAGGAGGTTCCTGATTGTCATTTATATCAGCAACTCAGGGAGTGGACCTAGGGCAGGATAACAAAATCTGTGAAGGCTTATGAGGTGAATGTGTAGTGAATGAGAGGGGTATGAATATATATAGCACATTAGTCAGTTGTTTGGTGGTGTCACAAAGGGGTGAATTAGTGGCCTGAAGGAAAGCAGAGTTAAGGGAGGTTTGGGTGAAAAGTTGGGTCTAGTTGAGATGGATGGAAAGGAGTCAATGAAGAGAAAAAGATTTAAGATAAAGCAGGGAAATAGATGCTAGGATTAGGTTGAAGGTTTGAGGCTAAAAGTTTTAAGAACAAGAAAGCACTCATATTTCTCTGGACAGGGGGTTGAGCACAAAAGAAAACTGGCCTCCTTGATAAAGAAGAGAGCTATCAGTCACAGTGCCTGGCTTTACTCTTCTCAGGGAAGGAAGGGGCAAAGTTGTGGGCAGAGAGTGGTGAGGGTGAGGATGGTTTTGAAAGAGCTCATGGGTTTTGACCACACGTGGAAGGAAATGGGATATGAGGAAAACTACTGGGAGGCTACCTTGAAGGCCCATTTGAAATTGGAAAATATAAACAAATAGTAACGCAGAATAATCGTTCTTAAAGTCTGTGTTTGATTGAAGAACATTTTTCGTAAAAGATATCTTACCCAGTCTTCACTCTTCCCTCATAGCTGAAAGATAAATATGGAGCTATTCCACTTGAAAAAGGGTGGTGGCCTTAGAAGCTGTGGATAACCCTCTGGTCAGTTCTGAGGCACATGTACAGGAGCCCACAGTGCGAAACCACTTGGAGTGTGCCTGTGGGACAGTAGAGTACACAAAAAGGAAGATAAAGAGTTGAGAACCTTAGTATCAGCTATTCCTTGTCTATAGATAGGTCAAGACAGTCCCAGTCTAGCAGTGATTTCAAACAAAAGTGACCCCCCATTAAGGCCAGAGAGCTAAGATGCAAACTGATAAATATTTTATAAAATTTTGTATTGGCTGTCACATCTTTAATTTGGTAGCCCAGTGTCTGGAAATGAGACTTATCTCATTTAGAATGTAAAAAGAAATAAACTACAAAGAAAAAAATTTCACGAACATGTGTTAGGAAAAAGACATTTTTCAAATAGAAACTCTTACATGTGTTATCACTGTGGTTCTCAGGAGTAATTTAAGCAATTCTGTCAATTACATAAAATTCAGATGCTTTAGGTATTGTGCATTAAGAAATAATTAGATTCCATTTTTCTTAAATGGTAGTGATATTTTCTTGGTGTAAACATGTGGAGACCTAGGAAAACTGATGTGAGTAGTTAGAATGGAAAATACATAGTGCTAATTTTTCTATTGATATAAAAACCACAGTGTCTTCAACAGAACCAATTCAGTTGGGCCAATACATGATAGCATTTGTCAAATCTCTTTTGGTTGTCAGTGATAGAAGTCTGGCTTGAAATAATTTGAGTAAACAGAGGAATTTTTTTGGCTTTTATATCTGAAAGAGATGTAGATAATTCCAGCCATAACTAGAATCAGTCCAATGCCCCAGACATACCCCTTCCTGTTCCTTTGGTGTTGTCCAATAATTGGAAACCTTGAAACTATAGAAGAAAGCATAGGCATAATCAACTATTTTATCAATGCTAAATCTTTTTTGAATGACAGGAACAGGGAAAAGACAAATAATAGATCTGGTTAAAAAAACAACTTTCTAATGATTTTGACAAGATATTAATACTCAGATCTACAATGAGTTTCCATGAATTGATTACCAAAAAAAAGAGCCGAGGAAAAAAGCAAACAAGCAAGCAAGCAAGATAGGGATCTGAAAAGACAATTCAAGAAGAACAATTCCAAGTTGATAAATTCACATGTAAAGGTATTTAGTTTTAGATATTCAAATTAAAGTAATTTTATAACCATCACAGTTGAGAAGGATTACAGATCCTAAACTTCAGGCATAAATTGAAGATGGCAATAAATTTATTGTGAAGGAAATCACTTGATGCAATGGCTCATATTTCTTACTTTTTATAGTTTTTCATACTAGCTATGTATTTATATCTCATTTGCATCATTAAATTTGGGGATTGTAGTGCTTCAAGTGCTTGCAAATACAATTTGCATTTCTGTTTAGTAAATGGTTTATTATGATAAGTTTCAGTGAGTGGAAATAGCATTAAAATTATATTTCTATTAAATTTATACTGTCTCTTTGAATTTTCTTAGCCTATTTAAAAATATTTCATTAAAATGTTCAATTTTGATACTTAAATAATTTATAGTGACTGTTTTTGAAGATCATCATAAGACTTTCTCTGCATTTAAATATATTGCTTTAAGCAATGATTAAATAGTGCCTTTTGAAGATCACTCTTTTCTCTTTGAATTTCTATATATGTTAAAAAGATACCTTAGTTATTTCTCCTCTCCTAAATATACCTGAATTTGTGCAATTCTTTATGGAATACCACTTTTTGTTGCTAAAAGTAGTAATTGGTAGACTTTTCCCTCTTCTTGTTTTAGTAACTATTTTAGTACTTAACAATTGGGCCTCAGACTACTCTAGTAATTCATGAAAATTCTTTTAAGAGTGAATCCAGAGGTGAAAAATATGTTGATGGATAGATACAGAGCAGGTATCCAAGTCAAGATCTTCTTCTTCTTCTTTTTTTTTTTCAAGACAGGGTTTCAGTTTGTATTTCAGGCTGGCCTTGAACCCAGTATGTAGCCCAGGCTGACCTTGAACTCCTCCTGCCTCAGCCTCCTGAGTGCTAGGATTACAGGTGTGTGCCACCACATCTGGTAAAGATCTTCATTTTAATAGCAGTTCATGTTAGATTAGGGATGTAGGGATGTCTCATTACATTAATTTTTTTCTTTCAACAAACACTGCTGTATATCAGACACTGTTCTAGGTTGTAAAGAGGTTATGATCAACAAAGTTGATTATATTCTTGCCCTTATGTTCCTTATATTCTAGAGGCAGAAATAATCAGTAAATATGTTATAGGCCAGATAGAACAAAAGGAATTGTATTAATTATTTTTTACTCTTAATACTTTCAGTTTCCTCCCTACTACCATAGAACTTGGAATATGACATTTTCATCTTTTCTACCAAGACAAACATGCCTTTTTATCAATGTGGTTCTTGTGTTATACTTAATCATGAGATTTTAGAGAATTGCCACCACTCTGAGCCAAATGTGAGTCCTTTATTGTCAGCTGGCATTCAAGAGTGGCTAGCGCCTGGAAAACTCTTGAGGAGGAAAAGTGGCTTGTGGGTTCTTTTAAGCAGCTCTTCTAATTAAGGAGGGCTCAGGGAGAGGGGGAGCACAAGAGGAATTTCACAGGAGCAAAACTTTGCTAAGTAAGTGGGGGTCAGGGGAAGTTTCACACAGTTTAGTTGAAACAAAATATCACACAGGTGCAGAATATCCTGTTTACAAGATTGTAAAGATAACATATAGTTGCAGATTGCTTTACCAAATGGGAGATGTAAAGGTAACATACTGTTGCAGACTGCAGGATGTGGTCTGTCATGCATTAATTGAGGAGACTCCCAAGGGGGGGAATGGGGAGGTGACCCCTGGAATCACCTGACTTTACACAAATGGAGTCAGGTAGGCTATCACACTTGGGGGAGTATGCTTGGTAGATGTCCAAATATTAAGGTTTACAGGTACTTGAAATATACAGACTCTCTGGCCTGAGTAGCAGTGAAATTAAAATAACTTTGGAAAGAATTATCTCCCAAATTAGTACAATTGCCAAGAATTCTTTTGGAGAATTTAACAAGTATTTTGTTTGTTTTGTTCATTTCATTGTTTTTAACAAGCAGAACACTCCCTGAATATAGCAGATGCTCAGCAAATGTCATGGATTGAAGATCTGAGGGTAAATGTTTGGTTTTAACCAATGACCAGAACATGGTTTTGATCAAGGTTGAAGTCAAAAAAACATTTTTAAACATGGTATTCAAATTCCTGTTTTTTTGTGATGCATATAAAGAAAAACCTAGCATTTATCTTACAAAGAGTTTTTAGTCTGATAGTAATCATAAAGTATATTAATATGTCAGTGAAACAAGTTAGAAGTAAAGTACAATAGGAGAAGCAAATCTAGAGTGGGACTTTGAAGATTTGGATCATCTCCTGTTGAGGGGATCAGAAAAGAATTCCTTAGGAAAGTGACACTGGAAAAGAGTGAAGGGCTGGTGGGATTTGGAAACTTGGAGATGGGGTGTGGATAGACACAAAACTGTAGGAATCACACTAATAGAGATGTGTGCACATGGGAAAATCCATCAGGATTGTATTTATCTTGTCTGGAGTGAAGCTTCTATGAGAGAACAGCAGGATGAGGTTAGAAAAGTGGGTTTTGGAAAATTTTCATTTTTATAAAAACAAGTACAAATTGTGTGTTTGAGAAGGGTGGGATGGCTTGAGAGGCCTCTTTGTGTCTTCCTATTAACGGGAGAAACAACTTTCTCTATATTTTGTCTAAGTGTCATGTAGATGGGACATGTTCAATTTCCTTGCATGGAGTGAGTATATAACCAGCATAGTTACCTTTTCAGCTCTCTCTTCCCCTCCCCTCCCCTCTGCACTCAATCTTCCCTTCCCTTCCCCCCTCCCCTCCCCTCCCTTCTCCTCTCCTCTCCTGTTCTGTTCTTCTTTCTTTTTTCCCTCCCTCTTTCCTTCCCTTTCTTAAGTTCTAATAGGACTAAGAGGATAAGTTCTTTCTTTACAAGTCCATGTGAGCTTGGTATCTTGTCTTTGTAATCTTAAAAGCCTTCTCATAGGGTTATATTCATTCCTAAAGTACAGTGTTTTATACTCTATTTCCATTCCTGCAGTGAATCCCTGATAGCCGTGAGTGCTGTAGAGTGCATCTTTGAATATACCTCCAAAGCTCAAGTGTTGAAGGCTCGGTTCTCAGTTCATGGTGCTGTTTGGAGGTGGGACCTAGTGGGAGATTGTTGGTTCATTTAGGGCATGCTTTGGGGATATTGGGATGCCTGCTCTTTTCTGTTTCCCTCTCTTTTGCTTCCTAGCCATCATGAGGTGAGGAGCTTCCTCCTCCATGGCTTACATCATGATGTACTGCCTCACCACAGGCCCAGAGGTAATAGAGCCAACTATCCATGGACTGAAGCCTCTAAAACTGTGAGCCAGAAAACCTTCCTTGTTGTTTGTTTAAGTTGATTTAGGTATTTGTAACAAATACCTAAGTTAGTTGGAAAGCCATTTAACTCAGTGGTTTAAAGTCTGCTTTCCTAGTGGAGGATAAATTTCCTTTGTGTTCTAATTTCTGTATATTTTGTGTCTTGATTCTTTCCATTTCTTACAACACTTGTAGTTCCCACAAGTTCCACATAGTTCCTAAAATGCACCAGCAATTTCATTCACCTATCTTTCCCTTTGCCCGTCCGTGTTGCTTGTGTTATTCTGCTTTCCAGTCCCCATCTCTTAAGACCTGGTTCTTGGACTTTCTCCACTGGGAAGCCTTTACTACTTTTCTAAAGTATATCATGCCATTCCATCTCAAGTCTCTTATGTAAAATGGCAACAACTGGGACATCCTCCCTTCTGCTCACAGATACTTGATTCATTCCCAGCCTCCTCAATCTTGTACCTCTTTTTTTTTTTTTGGCACTGGGGATCAAACTCGGGACCTTCAGCTTGTGAGGCAGGCGGCGGAATCTTTACCTCTTTAGATGCTGCTTCCCACCCGATGATAAGCATTTCATTGATCCAATTTTCTTTTACTTTGTGTTACCACTTGTTTTACCATACTGGTAAATAATAGACACTTAGGTACATGTTTATTGAATGCATCTTTTAGGTAGATAACTGGGTTTTACGAAACATCCTAGAAACTATATGAATTTTTATGAGTATCACAATGTTTAGCTTTTATGTTTCTGAATGTTCTTCCCAGGAGTACAGTAGTTTAGTAAACTTCTGTTAGTTGCCCTCATTTATTTAAGAATTATTTATATAGTAGCTATTTACAACATCAAAGACCCAGCAATTCTGGGAAATAGACATTTGTAACAGTTTTGGCCTTTTTTATATCTCTCAACTCAGTTATAAGAAGCATGAAGTGTGGACAAATGACCAACAGTCTGTTTTCTGTTGGACTTCAGTTGCTTCTCATTTTGATCATATTGCTCTCTTCCCCATGCCTGTAGACTATGGGTTTGTCCTTCCTTCTTTTGATCCATAAACTGCACAGCTTTAAAAGGTGCTAATTAGAAAAGAGCATACCCTTATTGTGATCATGTCAGTATATTCCAAATGGCTTTTCCTTGCAGTTTCTTCTATTCCACTGCTGAACATCTATATCGAGGAGACCACATCTCAAAGTCCCATAGCTGGTGTTAATGGAATAGAATCCAAAGATTTTGTTTCTTTCTCCTATTTATTTTTTTTCCTATATTTAGATATTATTTATATGAAAAGTAATATAGAAAATGTATTAGATTTGCCTTGTTTGTATTTTTTTATCTGTTTACAAACAGATTAGATTTATAGGCTAAGATAGCATGAATATATAGGGTGGCAAGGTGAGTGTCTTCCTAAATCAAGGAAAATAAATAAGCAAAAGAGAATGAATTGTAAATGTTAGCTGTTACACTTGAAAGTACAACCCAGAATTGTGGTGGCAAATAATTGCACGATTACCTAGAGGGATTGAAAAACAAATTGCCTAATTTTAAGGACTGAAACAGCTGGTGTTTTCTCATTTCCCCACCCCCTTTTGGTAAATGCCCAATGAAGTTTTGCTGTGCTTTTTTTGTTTTAACATAAACATAATCAACACAATAAAGAAGATAATGAACCAATGACTAAGAGCTTCAGTGCATTTTCCTATCTGTTCAGACGTGCCAAACAGATCTTTATCCTTCATTGAACCATCAAATAGAGGCAGGCAAATTAGAACATCCATGTTTATTTCATCAGCTTTTCCACCCCAAGCTTTGGGCTGTTTTTAAATGTTTAAATCACAATTTGTTCTACAGATGAAACCAAAGATGCTCAATGAAAACAAGTGGCCTGACCTGACACTATATAACTTTTTCATGCAATTTTTTTATTGTTTAGCACGGAAATACATAATGGTTTTCTTTGCATGTTTGTTTGTTTTGTTTTTTTAAGACAGAGTTTTGCTATGTAGTTCACACTGGGCTTGAACTCACTATGTAGCCCAGGCTGGCCTTAAACTCACAGTAATCCTCCTGCCTCAGCCTCCTGAGTGCTGGGATTATATGTGTGCTATAATGCTATTCTATGTAAAGTATTTTAAGTGGCATGTTTTAAAACTGGATTAAAGATTTAGGAGACGTGATTTGAATGCACTTAACTTTAGAAATAACATAAAATATAAAATAGTTATGAATTTCAAAATGTTTTTTAGTACTTTTAGATTATGTTCACATAGTAAAATCCACAAATTTTAAGTATACCATTTGATAAACTATCATGGAATAAACACACCTGGGTAATCAGTACTCAGCTGGGGAAATAGGTCAGTGCCTGAGTATTCAAATGTCACAATCCTTTCTCCTCCCCAAGCTAATTTCTCTCCTGACTTCAAACACTGTGAGCTCCTTTTTTCCCCTCCTATTTTATAAATATTTTTCAAAATCTTTGGCATTATGTTACAAATTACATTAAATTCATCATTTTAAAGTGCATTATTTCAGTGACATTATCTTTACAATATTATACAGATATCTGGTTTCAGAACATTTTTATCAACTCAAAAAGAAACTCTGGACCCTTTAAACAGTCACTTCCTATCTCTGTCCTCAATAGACTTGTCTAGTGGAAATCCACTCTAATTCCTTTCTTTCTTTTTTTAACTGTTATCCTGAGTGCTTCTTTACTATGCACATGATCTTCCATGGTCTTCCTTTTCTGTCCTAATCCCAGCCCTTGAATCAGACATTTCTCAAGGAGCCCAGGTTCTTTTTAATGGAGAATGGTATTTAAAAATGAAGCCATGAGGCTAGATCTTCTAACAGTATGTCTTTATTTCTAGTTCCTTTCACACAGAACTAGAAAATATGTGTGTTTTCTTGCATGTATTCATGTATATACATATGTATATGAGATATATGTACAGTTATTCATTGGTATGTATGGAGAGATTGATTTCAGGACCCCTGACCCTACCAAAATCTGAGCATGCTCAAGTCCCTCATGTCAAATGATGTAGTATTTGCATGTACATTCGCCCATGTTTTATTTTTATTTTTTGTCTTTTTGTATTTGTTATTGAGCAGCAGGAATAGCCATTAGAAATTAACATTCATTTCAAATCATTTCTAGATTACCTGTTATACCCAATACAGTGTCAGTAATTACGTAGTATCATATAGGGAATAATGATAAAAAAGGTCTGTATATGTGTAGTACAGATTGGATTAAAAAATATTTTCAATAAGCTGTTGGTTGAATCTGCAGATGCAGAACCCCAGGTTACGGAATGCTGACTACACATCTATATATGGAAAACACATGATATATGTATACACATACCATATGTCTATATCTATTTCTCTATGTATCTCTACCTCCTTCCTTTTCCCTCCCTCCTGTAAATACACACACACACACACACACACACACACACACACACAATTTTAAAACTACAAATTCATATTGATAACTTTCAGTTAGTCTAACACTACAGGGCTCATTCTAGCCTTTCATATTTTTTATCTAGCTCATTACTTTGTCATCATTATTCATTGAAGATGTAGTTTCCTTTGGTTTTGATTCATTTCATTTTAGGATTTCCTCTCATCTTTCTTGATTTTTTTTCCAGCATGTATATATGAAACATCAATACGGTTCCAAAAGTCAGATCCATACAAATAGGTATACACAGAATTGTCATGTAACTTCCCCTCCCCAATCTGTATTAGTCAGCTTTCCTGTCTCTGGGACACAATACCCAACACCCACTTACAGGAGGAGAGTTTCATGTGACTCACAGTTTCAGGGCTTTTAGTCCATAACTGGTTAGCTCTAAAGCAGGAACATCATGGTAGAGCAAAGATCCTTAGTTCATGGTTGCCAGGAAGCAGAGCAGGTGAATAGTGCTAGGCAGGAAATGGGCCAGGGATCACATATAATACCCAGTGTCACTCCTCCAAGACCTACCCAAAGACAGCAAGAAGCATGCTCAACCAATCCCCTGGGTGGATCCCAAAGCCAGTCAAGTTGATACTCTACCCTAACTGCCACAGCATTGTCTCTTATGTAAATAGTGAGGAAGTTCTTTCCCTGTCTTTTTTACCATATTCCCAACTAACCCTTGAAGTTTCTTGTTCCTTCCTGTGTCTTTTTACACAAATAAATAGATATGTGTATTTTCTTACCTAAATAATCTATACTTTTTTTCCCCTTTAAAGGGGAAATTACTTTACTTTAAAGGGGAATTACTTTAGCAATTGAGGAGCTCTTCCTAAAAATGTAAAATAAAATAAGGCAATCGGCCAGTGCAGGAAAGCTTTCCCAGTAAATAGAAGGGAGGTTGATACTAATTAAATATGGATAAATAATACTAGAATATAAGGCATTGAATTTCTTTTATTATTTCAAGTTAATTTATAATTGTCTAAAATTAGCATTAGATTGTTAGGTTTTAAGTTTTTCTTTGTGTATATGTTTTAGAAACTAAAAGAACAGCAGATTTTTTTTGGGGTATTTTTATCATACTTCTTTGTAAAATGCACTTAGTAATTTTAAACTTTTAACAAATGCTATTTTCCATGTACACTAAAAGCAGTTACCAAAATTATAGACAGGTATTTTAGCACATTGTGTTCATTAAATGTGTATCAAAAAAAATAACTCTTTAAGGGAATTCCCCTATAAATTTTTTTGGTGGGTGTACCTTTCCATAGTACTTTTCAGCTTTCTTGTTTCTGCTAGGCGTTTGTTTAAAATCATTGGTGAGTAACAGATTTTATTGGCACTAGAGATCTGTTTGGGTTGTAAATGTTCTGAAATGAGTAATTCATGCTGCAGTGACAGCCTGGTGTTTCTGTTGATCAGTGACATTAGAGATGCTTGAAATCTTTTGAAAAATGCAGGGAAATTGTCGCAATGCATTTCAATAGTAATATACACGATGGTAATTTAGATTATAATTATCCTCTTGGCAGTCACAGTGTTTACCCTTGTTTTGTACTGTGCTGAGTTGGCTGTTTTCTTCAAATATTATCAGTGCCAACTATTTCTTTAAATATTCTTGGCGTTTTGTATCATCTAACTCCTTACAAAATATCCTCACCTGAATGGGTACCCAGAATTCAGATTTTGCTATCCAAATGAGAAACTGAGGCAGTTAACTTATGGTAACTGTCTTAAGAGCCAAGGAGGTAAACACATGCACTTATGCAAGGCAAGCCTGAGTGTATTCACTAGTTATTAGGAAAATTTGACCTTTATGTTGATTGCATTTTTCTGGTGTGTCTCCCCTTCTCTTAAAATTACAAAGTAGACACGGTGGAGAATGATCTTTAGAATCTAATAACTAAGCCAAACTTAATGTTTCAACCAATCTTACTGGTTCCCCAACTTTTATTTTTTTTTAATCTCTAGAGGCTATATGTTTTGGGTCTTTATATTAAAGTAGGTTTGTGATTGAAAACTGAATGCTTAGTTGCAGTTTAGGATACCACATTATGAATTTTGGTATGGGTTACCTGCTGGGAGAAGTAAAGTGTAATTTGGCTTGTTGGATAACAGTCTACAGTGACTGGAGTAGTGATTAAGAATGAATCTTATGATGTCTAGATAATGTAGGCAAACTTGTTTGTGTATAGATGCACACAACATAGTGTTTCAGTGTGCTTTGTCATCTTCCTGCAGTGTGTAGACATTCTAGACATAGTTTTTAGTTTTACTGTTTTTAAAATCAGTTCATTATTAAGTGGTAGATTCCTCAAGATTATATGAAAATCACTCAATTATTTGAAAAATGAAGGAGGTCAGTTCTTCAGTATTTTATCGTAGTAACTGGAAATACAGTGCATTTTTATGTTGTCACAGAAATGGTACCTCAAATTACTCTGCAAACACATGAGAGAGAATGGTGAGGAAACATATACTGAATAACCTCCACATAAACTGAGATGAAAGGCAGGCAGGCAGGAACAAAAGAATCTGGACAAGACAGGTCAAAGGAAATGGTAACCATTACCTCTAATAGTTACATAGAGAAAAAAAGATTGCTTGGCTTTAGAGAAATAGAAATGGTCAGGGAAAAAAGCTTGTTTAAAGGTATATTACTTTTTATACCTTAGAATACATTTAATAAGGAATATGACAAGTATAATCTATATACTTTTTTTCCCCCTCACTATCCTGCATTTGGTCTTTTAGAGTAAAATTTACTAAGGGATTAAAAAAGATTTAAAAATTATGTTGGATAAATAGCCTTCTAATTTTCTCATGTCAGGCAGACATCCTTATCTCACTAATGTGTTTGATCCCACAGGGGATAAAGCTTTCCAAGTATTTTCATCTTCATGGCTAATGGACTTGGAGACACGCAGCTCAGAGTACCCTTCCCTGTGCTCCCTCTGCTTGCCACTTCCTTTGAAGTTAGGTGAAATGAAAGAAACACAGGAAGACCTGTGCTGAAAAGGAATATTTTGGATTCTTATATTTTCTTCCCTCTATTTTCTTTCGTGTTTATACTTTCATAGTACTATAATAAATGTAAGGAAAGGGTGAATTAATGTTGAAAACTAATCTTTCAAATAGTTGGACTATTTCCTACATTTTTAGTTCTTTAATTTGGAATATTCCTAAGTAAGCATTTGTTTCAGAATGTGTGTGTGTATTTGTATTTGTGTGTGGGTGTGACTTCTTTCGTTCTCTTATTTTAATCCTTAGTCTGTGTAATCCATTTTATTGTAACTTCATTCATTGGTTGAATGCCAGAGGTTTTACAAAGGGCTGGTGATAGGGAAATGAATTAGCAGAAAGAGACATGCACAAAGAAATTAGCATATACTAATGGGCCTTTTCTTGTTCTTGAAAGATTTGGTTACCTAGCTTACTGCTTTTCTTCCTGCTACTACTGCTGCCATCATCTTTAAGCCATCCAGACAAACATTTTACTTCCTAGCTGGGCCTCGTGGAGCAGGCCTGGAATCCCAGAACTCCAAAATGCTGAGTCATGAGGATCACAAGTTCATGCCCAGCCTGGGCAACTTTGCAAGGTCCTGTCTCAAAATAAGAATGAAAAAGTGCCGAGAATATAGCTCAGTGTAAACGCCCTGGGTTCAATCTCCAGAAAAATATTACTTTCTTCTTTCTTTCTTTCTTTCTTTTTTTTGGTACTAGGGATCGAACTCGGGACCTTGTGCTTGCAAGGCAGGCGGCAGAACCACTGAGCTAAATCTCCAGCCCTCTTATTTCTTGACTTCATCATTCCCAGTTATACTTGATTCTCTACTAAATCTTAGCTACCTGTAACCTGGGGTAGTAGTAGAATACAATCTGTAAATATGATGTACAGACTTCCTTTACTGGGCACTATCTCTCCTATGTAGTATCCCCATATTAAGAATTGTATAATTCTATTGGATGTACTGATCCACTGACTTAGCATTTTTCTCATGTCCATAACCTCTGCCTTTCCATGTTCTTTCTTACTTCCCTCCTTTTCTACCTAAGACCCACAGTTATATTCTCTCTTTTCTTTTCTGCCAACCACCAGTTCATTTGTCTTTTTGTCCATATAAACCCTACCCTTGGTTGAACTAAATTGCCCACTTCTTCTGCATCTATACCTGAGCACACCTTACATCTCGGAGGAAGCTATAGTGACTAGTCTTTTCTCAATGACTACAGTTCATGAGCAAGTCCTGACCAGCATGTAGCTATCCTGCCACACATTCTTTTTTATACCTTTAGTTCTGTGTCCTCACTTTTAGCTGATTGTATTGCTAATTGTTATCACTGAGAACAGTGATGTAGCCAGGATAGAACTGTCATTTTAGTTGGAAATCACCAAATCTATCAGATTTTAAACTCAGCTTTGCTCTACTTACAGTGATAAATTTCCCCTTTAACTGCATAATATCATTTCCTCCTCTTGTGTAGTAGGGCGTATCTCTCACCTATGCACAGGGATTTTGCTTTTGTTTGTTTTTTTGCATCTGTTCCTACACCACTACCACCACCACCACCACCACCATTTTTTCTTCTGCTTGGTCATTGTTATCAGCATGCAAACATAATGTTTTGTTTTTTTTTCTGTACTTCAATTCCCACTCAAGGTTCCCCTCTGGATACTGCCCTATATCCTTTAATAAGTAGTAATTCAGGTTATTTTAATTCAGGTACTGAGTGTTATGAAGATTAAAAACATAGATGGGGACTTGGTGTATGGCAGCAGGGTTTTGGGGAGTCACTCTCAGTTCTCGCCTAACTGATGTATAGGAGTGGGCCTGGGCCAAGGGCACAGTAGTGGTAATAAGGTTTGGTAAGTGGAGAGAGTATTATAAGTAAGATTCTTGGGAGCAAATGAGAGGCCTTGAGGCAATAACTTGCTCAAATTGGAAAAAAAAATTAAAGAATTATTTGAGCCAATGGCGTTAGCCTGTCCTTCCCAGTACTTATTGGGGAAAAAAATGTACTTTTGGTTCGATTTAAACATTGAAATGTTTCCCTTCATCACCGTCTTCTAACAAACACACCAAAGATTATGAGCTCTGTTTCTATGCCTGAACTATCATGGCCCCAAAGAAGAGACTGACAGATTGGGTTTGGTCTTACACAGAAATGGAACCGTATGCTTTATACTCTTTTGATTTGGCTTTACCTTAGGAAAATTTTCTTTATTCATTTATCTTTTTGCACTTGTCAAAAATGAATTCTTTTTATTATGGAATAGTATTATATTATTTGAATATACCACAATCTGTTGACAAATACTTGAATTTTTCCCAGTTTTTGGCTATTAAGAATAAAGCTGTTCTGAACATGTATGAGTTGGTTTTTATTATTTTTTTTCTATTGCTTAACCCCTAGTTGTGCAGTTGCTGAGTCATATGGTCAATCTGTATTTACCTTTAAAAGCAACTGCTCAAGTCTTTTTCAAAGTGGTGGTACCGTTTTACATCTCAAATACTTCAAATATCCACTGTACTTGAGGATGGATAGTGCTTCCTCACTGTTTATGATTTATACCTGCATCTCTGTGGTGGTTATGCCAAGAGTGCAAGGTGTGGAAACTTGAACTATTCATGTTACCAAGAAATTGTAAATCAGCTACAGCCTGAGAGTGAGAGGCTAATTAGGAAGTAATGCTGGGCAGAAACAAGTCGTATTCTGAAGGACTTACTTATTGATATGGGTACATGCTTTTCAAATTTTTTTTTGTTGAATAATACTTTGGTAGTTTTAAGCAAAAAAGATATTAATAGATAAATGATATGTTAGTGAGAATTGAACATATTTTTTATGATATCAATAATGATAGCAAAAATTGGATGTTCATTTTCAGTGCTCTCATCATCTCTTCTTTCAACTTTATTTTATTTGTCATTAGTAATTCTCTTGAGATTTTGCCGTAGAATTTTTCTTTAATAAAATACCACTTTGATACTGATGTGAATAAAAACAGTTTGTCTTTCTAGCACTAATTTGTTTTGCACTTTGGTTATGTTTTCTCAAATAAAATTACAGCAAATTAATAAAACAAGTGAAATGGGAAAGAATTCCTGCCATTTCGGGTAATCTGCTTTTGAACATGTACAGTTCCTTTCTTTGCCCTTAGAGATTTAATCTGTAATTTAAAGAGATATAATGTAGAGTTTTCTTTATTATGACTTCAACATCCTCCACCTGCACATGTGCTCACAGATGTGTGTGCCTACCTTTTTGGGAACAGGTCTCTATTTTTCATTTCAGTGTAAAATTCCAAGTTGTCTTCATAGCTGGTGGCTGTAAAGTTTTCAGCCTCCTCTATCACAGTTTTTCTTTTTTCTTCCAGGTATCTGCATGGTTAGCTCTCAGATTCATCAGCTTTTTGTGCACACACTCAAGTTTAAGGTTTTTGAAGCCTTCTCTGTGAAGCTTTCCTTTACCGCCCTATTTAAAATTGTATGCCTCATAGTGAGCTCCTCCTTCCTTTTGCTTGCTTTTGTTTTCTCTATAGCACTGTTTATAATACACTTGAATTATTTTATTGCCCGCCTCTCCCAACTAGAATAAAGCTAGGTGGAGGAAGAATTTTTATCTCATTTTTTGCACCATTCTTAGCACTTAGAATAGTGTTCAGAATTTAGTAGGCTCTCAGTGTTTGTCAAAGGAGAGAACTTCACTTCCAACCTGTATTTCATATTGATCTAGAGCCTTCCAAAATTCCCTTGGGGAAGCTAATTGAATAGTGATGTTCGGACACTCCATGCTGTGACCTTTATCTTGAATGGTTTTTGTTTTTGTTGTTTTCTTTGTGTGTGCATGTGCTTTATGTTTTGGTCTGAATTCTTTTCTAATTTTTCGAGTACATAGTTTTTTATTTACCTTTCCCCTGTTACTCAGGCTTCTCCAAGCTGCCCTGCCAAATGTAGGTACTGTCTTTATTCTTTAGGTCTCTTAGTTCTGTCTCATAGGAATTACACTGCACTGAAAATTATTACATTCTTCTTGTGTTTTTCCTCCCAGATTTAGAGTTTGATAATCCCTAGGTCTAAATTGCCTAGAGTAAGACATTCAGTGGTAATTGAATGAATCAGTGATTTAAGAGCTTTTCCTGTATTGCTCAGAGCACTAATTTTAATAAGGTATTTCTTATATTGAGTTTTCATATTTCTTTTGAATGTAACTAGAATATACTACTATATTTCAAGATACTTCCTATGATATACACTTAGTAATTTTGTAGGACAGCTTACATTCGCAAAAACACTTACTTTAGTTTGCAGTCCATTTGATATTATGTTATTATTTTTTGTGGATACCAAGGATTATGAATTTATAGATTTATGGGTAGATGAAGTAAGGATATCACTCCCACACACCCTGAAATAATAGTAATCATAGTAGTTGTCTGGAGCTTATGACTTAATTTTTAAAAACTTATTTTATAGGGAAGTCTTAAAAGCAGCCGACAGATCTCACCTCAGGAATTCATCCATGAATTGAAAATGGGGTCTGTGGATGAGAGACTTGCCACCTCCCTGGAATCCCTCCGAGTGTCTTTGACCAGTAATCCTGTGAGGTAATTTATCTAAATGAATAGCATCAGGGCATGTTACCAAGTTAAACAGATGTCACTAATATGTCATTTTCATTTAAATTTCATAGTGCTGTCAAATAAATAGCCATTATACCTCAACAATTTCTGAATGTAGAATTTAAATACATAGTATTTATATGCATGAAGAAATAGACTCAGTAGTACCTTTTGTATTAATTGCTGAGTAGTACATAGCTAATGTACTTAAAGAAAACATTTGTTCCTTAGAATTTTGAAAAACTTGAGGTGCTTTTAAAAAAAAAACCAATCAGTATCAGAAACTAACAGTTTAAATGTGACTGAACTTAAGTCTGAGTTTTGGTGATTCCTGTTTGACATAGCAAGAAATACCATCAATTATTTCCTTTAATGGAAATGGTGTCTTTGTAGGTGCCCATCGGTTGGTGTTGTTATTTTTAGCAAATACTAATGTAGGACACCCAATGAAATTTGAATTTCAGACATACTAAAAAAAGCTTTTTTACCTGAAGTCCAAATTTAAATGTTTTTAAAAATTTTTATCTGGTAACACTACCATAGTTGTTTCTATAAATCAATTTTTTAGACTTTTGGAGTGAGATTAATATTTGATGACTTTAAGAAGTAAAGGTATGTAAAAGTTAAAAAGGAATGTAATTTTGATAAGCTGAGTATATTTAAAATTGTCAGATTGTTAGATAGTAGGAGACAGACTTGTTAAAAATAAAACAAAAACACAAGGTGTACCAGGAGTATATCATATGTGATACTTTGTATGTTTGAAAGGAGAAATTTCAATATATAGAGACTGTATGCTAACTCTGAATTAGGTTGGTAGCTAAATCCAGAGTATTCTCAAAAAAATGTATGCAGAAGTTGTTATGAAATGTCTGAGTAGTCAGAATCAGAAAGTTTCTGAACTGTAAAGGTCTGAGGAAGATCAGTTTTAACTTTCTGATGTCTAAGAAATAAATATTTTTACATAATAATAATGTGTGTATATACATATTGGGAAGACTAGAATGGCATACTATAATTGGAGTGATATGGAAGATAATTTCTTTGCTATTCTAAGATCTTTTTTGGACATTTCTGAAGTCAGGCTATAACGTGAAATAGTTCTTGAGCACACGATTATTTAAAACAAAAGACCCTACTTATTGAGACATGAGAGTAAGGTTTAAATAAGAGTAGGAAGAGTAAGTGAAGAATCGTTAGTATATTTCAGTTTTATGTTTATTTTTCTATTTTGCCACTTTGTCTGTTCTTTAGACTGTAAGCTAGTGGTAGCATGAGAATATATGTTATTTACCTCTGCTTACCGAGCGTCTTGTTTATTACACAGGAAATGCTAGAGATTTATTGATTGAAATAATATGGTTTTGGGCCGGGGATTTAGCTCGGTGGTTTCGTTGCCTGCTGCGCAAGCACAAGGACCTGAGTTTGATCCCCGGTATCAAAAAAAAAAAAAAAAAAAAAGAAAAGAAATAATATGGTTTTAATTTTAACTTTCTTTCATCTTACTTTGGCTGTTGTTCGAAACAGATCGAATTTGAGAATTCAGTAGATATATTAATATATGAAGAGCTTTTGTTTCCAGCTTAATCTGTACCTGTAAAATGTACTTTTTAAAAAAATACTTATTGAGCCCCTATTATTTGCAAGATTATATTGTGGGGATTGAATAAACAAAGCAAATGTAAGCCATCTTTCTGTGGAGTTTAAATGTAAGGAAAAGGTATTGTCAGCATTGGACACTGAAGGTATTAATTGTTTTTCAGTGTAATTAGAAGTATACCCTTCACTGCTGCATGTTTACTTTTCTTCCCTTTTCTTCTCTTTCTCCTTCCCTCCTTTTCAAACAAAAAAACCAACATGGAAGGATTTTATGTAGGAATGTATACATATTACAGTAGATAGGATTATTTATTTTGATTTTACCTAAAAACACTGGAAATTATGCTGTATGTCTTTATTTTAAAAAGCGTATTAAGACAAATGCCAATACTTGTGTTATTTTTCTCTAAGAATGGATAGTTCTAAAATATATTAATAGGAATCCATATATTTTCCATGAAGTAGTCCTTTTAAGTGAAAAGAATAGAAAAACCTTATCACTGAAAGAATTTTTCTGAAATTGTACCCCTTAATATGAAAAGACAAAATTGACAAGATATTTGAGAATACTTCTTTTTCTATTATAGAGGAATGACTTAGGAAAACTTGGAAGCTATGCCTTTGAGCAAATCTTTGGACTTTCCTGTTAGTCATGATGTGCCTGGTAATAAAGTCAGTTTTTCGTGTTTTCTTATTTATATATGTATGCCACCAAATTCCTAGATGGAATTTTTATTTTTGTAAGCTTCTGAAATCATTGTTAAAGTTGTGATATCTCTGAGTAAATAAAGTTAGAAATTATTTAATGCTATGAATAGATTAAAAAAAAGAACAAGTGGACTGATTAATGATGGTTCTCCAAAGTTAGTTTAGGATCAGAATTTATTTAAATCAAAAGTAAGGGAAAAAATAGACTCCCTCCTTAAATTAGCGAATTAGTGAATATATAATGTCTTTAGAGCTGTTCATCAACTTCTGAAACTCTGACTAGTAATTATGAGCCTTGTCAGCCTTACACTATCAAGATAGAGAATTATGTGAAAACCAGTTTGTTTTATGAAAATATGACGTGAAGATCACAAAAGTTCTGTTTGATGAGATTTATTGATCATTCAGTATTCTTGATGACAGTTTGTGTTAATTTTGACAGTTAGGGAAAAGACCAACTTCCTCAACTTATCGAATATAACTTTTAGTGAATCTTGACATAATCAATAATTACATTTAGATGATTGAATACATTTGGGTAAAAACATAAACAGGTGACATATAATGATTGAAGTTAAGCATTTATGGTTCATACCCATTTATGTATATGCCAAGTTAATTATAGGATATATCTTCATATTCTCAATGCTATGCTTCTGTCTGGGCAAGATTTCTGTCTCAGAAAATTAGTTCTGTGAAATCTTTGTGTTTTGTGAGTTTAGGCATTATTTTCCCTTAATTACCATTAAAATTTGTATTTTGAAGTGTAAAAGAAGTATTTTCTTACTGAAGTTGTCTTTTTGTTTGAAGACTGGAGAATATTCTGGACATAGGTTTAAGCTGATAACTATAAGTTTGATAAAATAATTGTGGAGAATTGTGCAGGAAAATGTGTTTACACTAAAATAGATGAGTGCCTCTTGTCAGTCCATTTAATCAGTGCCAGCTTTGGAATGTAGCTCCTCTGCATTTCTGGGATTGAAAAACATGAAGTAGATGGAAGAGTGTGGCCTTGCAGAGGTAGGATGGCATACTCATTCGTATCATGATAGGAAGAAAAAGTCTTCAAGAACTAATATCTTTGAAATGACTAATTCTTTGTCTTATTTTAAAAGTTATCTTAGTAAAATATTAAACATATTTAGAAGACTGTCATCACAGTAAAATAAGTGCCCCTTACCCAACCATGAGGCTCCATTCTGTTGTCTATTACCTTGAAACTACCATACACATCTCTTTAAGTTCTGTGTCCTTACCCAGGGCCAACTCACTGTCCTATCCTGAGTTTTGAATTTAACATTCATTTTTTTCTCATTATAATTTCATGGTATGTGTATTCCAAATTACTGTACTGTATCATTTGTTTTTATCTTTTTGAACTTCATATAAATAGACTTCATGTATTCTTCTAAGACTTATGTTTCCCTCTTAATATTATGTTGCATGAATTTGTCCATGTTGCTCTGTGTAGCTGTTCATACCCATTGCAGTTTATCATTTTTCAGACCTTATATTTTAAGAATATTTATTGCAAACAGTTTATATATGTTTTTTTTAAATCTGTCTGATAATCTTTGTTTTTTGTAATTTTATGTTTTTGTATTGATTATGAAAACATACTTTAATTCATATGTAATATTTCATTTTGAATTTTCATTTATGCTTTTTCCAAGTTTGCTTTTCCCATTTCTTCTACCTCTCACCCTCCTTCTCTTCTTTTTACTCCTTTCTTTTCTATATTCTTCCCTCTTATTCTTCTCCTTCCTTTTTAACTTTTGTGTAGATTTTTAATTTCTTCTTTCATTTTTTCTTATCTACCAATTTAGAAGACAAATTTAAAAAATTTTTTATAACAGGAAAGGAATTCAACATTCATGTACTTAAAAAGAACCGAAGTAAGCAATAATGTATTGTCTCCTCTGGAACCAAAGAATACTGTAATAATCAATCACCTTTCCTTGATTTCTATGCTAGTTTGAGTGATATTTTGCTTTTCTTTTTAATCGTATAATTAAATATTGCTATTCATTTACACCAGAAACATATGTCTTTGTATATATGTTTACACACATTTTCTTTTTTGGTTTATGTATTTTTCTCTGATCATTTTATTTTTGCTTCAAGCTTATTATTAAGATCCTTTCTTTTTTTGGTACCGGGGATTGAACTCGGGTCCTTCTGCTTTCGAGGAAGGTGGCGGAACCACTGAGCTAAATCCCTGGTCCTATTAAGATCCTTTCGAGTCTGTTGATGCTAACATTCTCTTTTATGTGTCTGAAAATATCTTTATTTATCTTTGAGTTTGAAAGATACCATTCCTAGGACACGGCATTGAGGGTTTCTAGTTATGATTTATATTTTCTTAGCACATTAACCCACGCCACCCACCCCGACTTGCATTGTTATTGAGAGGTTGGCTCTATCCAAAACTTATTCTTTTACAGGCAATCTAATCTGTCCTTTCTCTCTGGTTGTTTTAAGATGTATTCTTTGTCTTTTCTATTTTTATAATTTGGCTCTACTTTTAAAATCCTTGCAATAATTTATACCTTTATTCTTCAATATTTTAATCCTTTTTACTTTAAAAAATATTCTTTAGGTATTTTATATTCTATGTCTATAATTTTTTTACTTTTGGTACTGGGGATTGAACTTGGGACCTTACGCTTGCGAGGCAG